CTCAGCTTTTGAAGACTGAGTGACAGTCTGACAACATCAGTGTTGTTCAGTATATGTGTCTGTTCAGCTGCATTCGTTCAGTCCCAAGAAGAGGATCCATCATACAACAAACATGTTTTGTCCCGGTCGACCCACCCAAGAAACTTTTAGTCTTCACTGGTCAATTTAAAGATTTCACCATGTTTTTTTTTTTTTGTTTTTTTTTAAAAACTTAGTCACAAATTACTATGAAGGAAGAAACATTTTAAGTCACTGCTGTTTGACTCTAAATGGACCATAATGTACTAAATGAACATCATGCTGTATTGAAGAAGACTTGAAACTAGAGATTGAGACCATAAACTCATGTTTACTGAGGTAATAAATCAAGAGAGAAGTAGAGTCATTTTCTCATAGACTTCTATACAACCAGAGGAGTCGCCCCCTGGTGGTCACTAGAGAGAGTGTATCAAAAGTCAGAACCGGAGGTTGCCGCCTGGTTGTGGCCAAAAGCTTGTTTTGTGAGGTCACAGTGAGCTTTAACCACCAAATTGTAATCAGTTCATCTCTGAGTTCAGGTGGATGTTTGTGCCAAATCTGAAAAAAGTTCCCTCCAGTCGTTCCTAAGATATTGTATTCTAGAGAACGGTCAAGACAAACAAAGAATGTGCATCGGCAGAAAATAAGTGAAAAAAACACAACATGTAAATAGATAGAAACTTATAAGAAAAAACCTAAAAGAAAACAAAAAGTCACTCGAGTGACTAGAGTTTGAGACTATACAGACTATGAATGAGGACAGACGGGTGTGTGGAGGATCTGGATCACCTTGGAGTAGATGGTGGCGTTGATCCAGGCCAGTCTCCTGCAGAGGTGGTTCAGCTTCTCTGCAAACACCTTCTGGCTCTTCTGGAGCTCGTCCAGGATGTCTGGTCTCTGAAGGACAGAAAACAGTGTCATCGTATCACCAGCTGACTCCGACTGTCACCAGCTACTCACTGCTTCCGTTACTGCAAAGCACCCGAGAAAAAAACCCCACAAACAAGTAATGCTGCCCTAACTGAGCTGCAAAGCAAAAAGGGTCCCGGTGCTGCAGTGCTATTTGACTGGTAAATGTAGAGCTTTTCTACACATCATACATTCACCCACATTCATACACTGATGACAGGGACCTGCCCATAACTAAACATTCATATCCATTCATTTACTTTTGTTTGCAATTTTGGGGTTAAGTGTCTCGCTGTTCCAAGGAACCATCGACATGGACTAGCGGAGCCGGGGATCGAACCGCCGATCCTCTGATTGGAGGACGACCTGCTCTGCTTCTGAGCCACGGTCGACCAGGTAAGTGTTCTTCTTTTAAATTCACCATTTTGAAAACAGATTTTTTTTTGTCTTATTTTGCAAAAGAATAATGCACATTGTTCCCATAAAAAAAAAGCATTAATTTAATATTTGTTCTTATTTACTTTATTAAAAATAAAAAAACATTCATCCAGCAGAGGCCAAAATTACTTGTATTTCTAATGTCCGCCCCTGGGTAATGTCTGCAGACATTTGGTTGAAATTTGCTCCTTTCTAAGTCTCACTGCAAAGAAACGGTCCAATTCACAAAGATCAGCTCCAACAGTCACTCGCAGTTACAGTAAATCTACGAGCGTCTTCAGAGGGTTTGGTGGGAACTGAAGTGCTTTTATGAGGTCAGGTCCCAGTAATGATGACAGCATTGAATGATTATTATTTTACAGTCAGAGTGAGATAATAAATCCCAAATAGGGTTTCTCTCCGTCACGTTTAAACTCCTTGACTGAAGTTTTTGAGGAATGCTTCTGCAGCTCACGGTCTGAACACTATCTTTTCGTTATCTCTCTGCCATTGTTTCCACCTGACAAACGGCAGTTATACTCATCATGCCAGGTGTTGCAATCAAACACAAAAAAAGACGAGTTGCGCTCTGCGGCAATTTCTGTGTTGAATGAACTGATGCGTTAATGTAGATGTTTGGGTTATGTTTGTACATTTTGTTTCTACTTTTATCAATGTGAGACTGTATATATTTAAATGTATGGAAGGTACTCGCCTTATTGTGCTGTTGGATACATTTCACAATGTTTGGTTTGTTGTTGATTCATGTTTCTGGATTAATGAGGGCTGGGTGCTGAAAATGATACCTTTACTATCAATTTATATATTATTAATAACTAACTCTTTAACGCTCTGTCGAACAACTTTATTTGTTTTTTAGTGCACAACACACCAACAGCTGGTTAAAGCTCTTTCTTCAGGCAGATACTTGTAGAACTTTGTCCTCCAGTGAAGTTAGGTTTGCCGATGATGCCGGTTAGCGGTGACTCTAACGAGACGAGCTATCACAACAGGCTGACGGGTGTGTTGACTGGAGCACGGCTAATTATCTGAAACCTCGAGCGCCAACAAACAAAAAGTAACCGGCCCACACAACCAGCAACAACCTGCTAGATAGACTGAAGCATTAAATATTTAGACATGTTTTGTTTTCACACAGACTGAAGACAAGAATATTTTCAGTTATGATCACAACATCAACACGCGCACGCACACGCGCACGCACACACACGATGAATTCTCAGAGAACAACACACTCTGAATACATTAAGTCATAACTAAAGAACAGGCTTACTTTTGCGGGGCATCGTGCGATCTTCTCCTCGGTGTCCTTGAGTGCGACGGCGTATTCATGGACGTCATCTGAAACCACCACCATCTGCAGGAAGAACGGACGCAGACATTTACAGAGCCGAAGTTTCTAGTGTTTTAATTTAACTTTATGATGCAACAGTGACACTGTGTAGTCTATAGACACAACAGTTATTGCTGCAACCCAAGTGAGGCGGTGGAGACACCAGAGAAAAGTGGAGAAACATCCAGAAACCAGTGGAGCAACGTCGACTGTACAACCAGAAACCAGTGGAGCAACGTCGACTGTACAACCAGAAACACGTGGAGCAACGTCGACTGTACAACCAGAAACACGTGGAGCAACGTCGACTGTACAACCAGAAACACGTGGAGCAACGTCAGCAGAAACCAGTGTAGCATGTAGGTCGACAAAACTGATCACGTCCACACACACACACACACACACACGTCTCTACTTAACAGAATATATAAAACCTTCCCACTGAAGTAAAGACGTTCTTCTCCGAGCTCGATGCTGGAAGGATTTTGATCCATATGTTGCAGAAACATCTCATCACAACAGTCTGCTGAGATGACGACCAATAAATAAAACGATATAAAAACAAGACATCAAACGGCACATTTCCAAGCAGCGATGGAACAAAAGTAAGCTATAAAGGCTGTTCAGCCCTGGTGGGTCGTTTTTTTTTCTAAATTAGAAAAGAGACGTGACAATAACAGAGAGGTGAAGAGGTCGGAGCGATTCAACAGAAGAGCAGAAAGTGTAAATAAAAAGAGACGAACCAATCACAGAAAGCAGGGAGAAGGAGGAAGAGTCAGTCAGGATGAAAATATTTCAGGAAATTATAGAAAGATTCATTTTAAGAATATTTAACCACAAAAAAAAAAAAAAAAAAAAAAAAAAAAAAACTGCACAAAGCAGAAAGAACATGTTTGATGTATGAAAACACATTCATGTGCACGCCTGTAGTTGGTACAGGTCAGATGAAGAGGTCAAATAATAAAGATTTACTCATAACCACGTCGTCTCCTAGGGATATTTGTGTATTTAAATGTAGATTGAAATATATCCCATATTACTACCCAACTTCAATCGACACCCATCTCACACACACACTCACTCACTTTAACGCTACATGTCATCGTTCACCGAGTCATACACTGATGACAGGAGCCACCTGCAACTAACCATTCATAGCAATTTGGAGCAATTTGGGGTGAAGTGTCTCGCTCAAGCACACATCGATATGGACTAGCGGAGCCGGGGATCGAACCGCCGATTCTCCACTGATCCAGTTTGGCCCAGATTGGCAGCTCTCGTCTGCGGGTCGATAATCTTTGGACAGCTTGCAGTAAAAGCGGCAGATAGGGAGATGAATGTGATGTGGGTGCTACAATCGCATTAAAAAAAAAACAAAAAAAAAACTTGAAGAGTAACTAAAGCCCAGCGTTTTGTACCCTGGAAATTCAAAAAAATGCATCTAAAATGTGAAAAATTGAAAATGTTCAGTAACCAGTGTAGCATTACAATCACGGCTCAAGCCTTTCATTTTCTTTTTTCTGTGGACTTGAGAATATCTGGAGAACCAGTGACAGATTATCTGGGGATGGCAATGTGTGTGGACGGAGCATTAAGATTAAGTTGTTAGATTTTACTCATTCAGGGGCTAGCTAGTTAGCCAATTCCACCATGCTTTAATGCTACAGTTACAGAACATTAACAATGCCACACGAACTGTTGGGCTTCTTCTTCGTTACATCAAGCCGTATTTTTCGGTTTTTAAATTACCATTCATTAAAGCCGTTACCCTGTCAATTACCTTATACTTATTGCTAATGCTAGTTGCATAAACTAATTGCTAATGCTAGCCTCTAAAGCTAATCTATCGCGTGCTGACTATTGTCATGATTATGGAGAGTGCAAGAGTGCTGTAAAGTGTCCGTTATTGTGACAAAACAAATTTAAACTCTAATAAACATTTGTGAGCTAGAGTTTACATACAAGGCCGGTCTACTTGAAAGCTAACAATTAGCATTTTGCGATTCACAGACTAATTGAAAGGGTAACGGCTACTCTTCCTTAATTTCCTTACTCTTCCTTAACTTAACGGATGTGAAGTGTTTCTGATAGTTTGAGATGCAGTAGAAGCACAGACTCACCTTTCCGAGCTGCTGGTGGACGCTCAGGTTGTACATCATCACGATACCGTCGACGATCTCCAGCAGCGACTTGTCCGCGATTGGCTGCTCGGGCTCCTCCAGCGGTCGCCCCAGCAACAGGCCGTCGTTACCATGGCTTCCCTCGACTTCAGGTTGAAGAGAGAGAAAAGTAAACAAAAAACATTCAATGCTGAGGGATCGTTTTTGGAACAAAGCTCCTCTGGACAATGATAAATAATATAATCACACCGACTTTAATACGATTTTCTACACAAGTCACTACCAGTCGGGTTCCTCCGAGTCTGAGGTGAATAAAACTGCTACTGGTGAAATGTTGAATTTGTCTGATGAAGGCCACATGCCAGCGGTCTCACTCAGCAATAACAACATGAAGCTCACAGTCTACATGTTGGTTTGATAATGCTGCACACTGCTTAACATGTTGAAAAGGAAGATTAATCGTTCCGATTCCAGGAAATACGTTATTAATGAAATAATACCATGTGACAGATATAAATGTCTTGATATCACATGATGTCGTCGGATTCCAGATCAATAAAAGAAAGTAGGGATGGGCACGAGTACTGGATTAAAGTTACAAGAAGTTTTTAACCGACTGAAACAATATACACTGCTCAAAAAAATAAAGGGAACACTTAAACAACACAATGTAACTCCAAGTCAATCACACTTCTGTGAAATCAAACTGCCCACTTAGGAAGCAACACTGACAATCAATTTCACATGCTGTTGTGCAAATGGAATAGACAACAGGTGGAAATTATAGGCAATTAGCAAGACAGACACCCCCAATAAAGGAGTGGTTCTGCAGGTGGTGACCACAGACCACTTCTCAGTTCCTATGCTTTCTGGCTGAAGTTTTGGTCACTTTTGAATGCTGGCGGTGCTTTCACTCTAGTGGTAGCATGAGACGGAGTCTACAACCCACACAAGTGGCTCAGGTAGTGCAGCTCATCCAGGATGGCACATCAATGCGAGCTGTGGCAAGAAGGTTTGCGGTGTCTGTCAGCGTAGTGTCCAGAGCATGGAGGCGCTACCAGGAGACAGGCCAGTACATCAGGAGACGTGGAGGAGGCCGTAGGACCGCTACCTCCACCTTTGTGCAAGGAGGAACAGCAGGAGCACTGCCAGAGCCCTGCAAAATGACCTCCAGCAGGCCACAAATGTGCATGTGTCTGCTCAAACGGTCAGAAACAGACTCCATGAGGGTGGTATGAGGGCCCGACGTCCACAGGTGGGGGTTGAGCTTACAGCCCAACACCGGGCAGGACGTTTGGCATTTGCCAGAGAACACCAAGACTGGCAACTTCGCCACTGGCGCCCTGTGCTCTTCACAGATGAAAGCAGGTTCCACTGAGCACATGTGACAGACGTGACAGAGTCTGGAGACGCCGTGGAGAACGTTCTGCTGCCTGCAACATCCTCCAGCATGACCGGTTTGGCGGTGGGTCAGTAATGGTGTGGGGTGGCATTTCTTTGGAGGGCCGCACAGCCCTCCATGTGCTCGCCAGAGGTAGCCTGACTGCCATTAGGTACCGAGATGAGATCCTCAGACCCCTTGTGAGACCATATGCCGGTGCGGTTGGCCCTGGGTTCCTCCTAATGCAAGACAATGCTAGAGAGGGAGGTCATATAGGCACGTGGAGGCCACACACTACTGAGCCTCATTTGGACTTGTTTTAAGGACATTACATCAAAGTTGGATCAGCCTGTAGTGTGTTTTTCCACTTCAATTTTGAGTGCGACTCCAAATCCAGACCTCCAAGGGTTAATAAATTTCATTTTCATTTATAATTTTTGTGTGATTTTGTTGTCAGCACATTCAACTATGTAAAAGAACAAAGTATTTAATAAGACTATTTCATTCATTCAGATCTAGGATGTGTTGCTTAAGTGTTCCCTTTATTTTTTTGAGCAGTGTATATATGATCGAAATAAGCGAGCGAGAAAATTTGCAGCGAAGGTTTACATTTTCAGTTTCTCAGCGATTACTACATGAGCCATTTCATTTAAAAATATTTATATAATTTGTTGCCATCGCTGATACGGCAAACTTTCTAAATTCACAGCAGAACAGTAAACCCAAAATACGTTTCTGAGAACATTTGAGGCGAGAAAATAATTTGCATAAAGTATAGATTGAGTTAAAGGCGTGGTTACGCAAATTAGTCGCTCAACTCGCCGCTGGTGTTGACAAGGGCGCTGGTATAGACAAGGGCACTAGTCATGACGAATGCTGTGTAAAGTCCTCTGAGGCTTTGAGGGGGGAACATACCCCTGATGATGTTAAAGTGACGTCGTCAGCCTTAATAAAAACTATCCAGCTGCATTATGGGAAATGCAGGATCCCGGGGTTTTAAAGTTAAAAGTCTGCTGCATCCACTAGGATGCTCGTCATTCCCCTTCAGTCTCAATGTCTTCAGTGTGTTCACAGACTCACTGTCCTCCTCGGTCCTCTGCTCCACAGCGAGGGTGCGGATCTTCACTTTCTCCGGCTGCGTGAGGGGTCGTCTGGGCGTCATGAGGCTGACGGCGGCCGTGCTCAGGAAGCGATTGGCTCGACCCAGAGTAGGAGAGCTCAACCAGCTGGGCCTCGCCAGAGCCCCGCCCATCGCCGCCGCACCAAACGGCCTCTGTCGGTAAAGACACACAGAATTCATGATTTAAATCAGGAGACAGTAACGAGTGTTTTCTCTCATTAGATTCTATAGATCGGTCTAAAAACCTTCTTGAACTTGAGTCTCGGAGAAGAAAAGTCGTTCTTAAAGACAAAAGTTGTCTTTTTAAAACATTATTTTGATTAATGCGTTATATTTCCAACATGTTCGTTTTTTTATTATTGTTGGGCATTTCATTGCCAGAAAAACATTTAGTCCCAATACATAGTATTTAAAATGCGGTACGCCCAAAAGTACCAGGATGTCCGGTTGCATTTTGCAGTATGCAAGTCAGCATGCTATTCTGCCTGTTCTGACCCACAATCCTTTGCGCAGGAGATATCTGAGCAAGAGGGTCAGAGGTTTAAGGTGCGATGTTAAGAGGAGGTAGTACGTACTTTGTAAAGGCAGCTGCAGTACGAAGAAAAGGATGCGATTTGGAACGCAGTTTAAAAAATGACGAATAATCACGTGACCGCATGTTTGAGTCTGTTGATTGTTTTGCATCTCTTTGTCGCCGTTTATGTGCGTTTTCCTTCGCATCCCTTTATGGAAGTTTTGCATCTTTTTGGGGTTATTTTGCATCCCTTCATAGTCAGTGTCTTCTGGACATTTTGGGGTCTTTTTGCATCGTTTGCATTTCTTTGTAGTCGATTTACGTCTGTGGTCGTGTGCGTTTTATAATTCTGGCGTTTGACCATGTAGAACAGTTTATAAATTTATTTTGAAAAGTGTATTCTGAATAATGTTTATTTTTATTAATGACACCGATCCAGACACTGACATTTTCTATTTTGTTTTTCTATCTTGTTGGTGAAAAGCTGATTTTGTCCATCAGCTGCACCCGTTTTCATACACCCACTTCAGTCGTGTGAATTAGACGGCCTGTTCTAATGGTTGCACAGTGATTACTTCAGAGACGACAGTAATAATATCCACAAATATACACACACACACACAAAAATAGAGACAGGAAACCTGAGCTGCTCCGCTCTCCTCGTCCTCATCCAGGTCATCCATAGACGTGGCCTGGATCTCTGCAGGGTCGATGATGATGTTGGCTTTACTGGCCAAGTCATCTGTAGACATTTAAAAAAAAAAAAAACGACATTTATCACATTAAAACAGTTCAGTTTGATCCCAGAACATATGTCCAGCTATGTGACTAACTGACCATGAAAGAAAATACATCACAAAGCAGACGGACGTCAATCTGAAACTCCAAAAGCTCGACACACGTTCCAGTTTATAAAACAGAGTCGGAGTAAAGACATTTAATCAAACTGTCTCCGTTCAAAATATGCTGAATCATCTGTTAGCAGCTCCTGTTTGCAGTGTTCCAACAACGATCACTGGATCACTTTGATACTGAAGAAAACTTAAACATGATGATTCTCAGGCAAGTTCAGCAGCGTCTGTTTTTCTATGATTTATGGATTTTTATTGATGTTTGACGTCAGAGATATTAATGTTGACCTGATGATGGCCCTAGATGAAAAGTCGGAGGATCACCAACAGTTCATCCCGAGGAGATCGTGAACGATGAACCACATTCCATCACCATACATCCTCTAGTCGTTGCTTCAGTCTGGACCAAAGCTTTAGACCGATGCCAGCTTCCTCAGAGCTACGATGCTAACAGAAAGCTGCCGAGCGCGCTTCCTTCCTCCTCACGTGTACTGTATGCAGATGGGAAAAAAAGCCCTGCCTCGCATTCAATCATTTTGATTGGTCAGCTAATCGATGAGCGAGGTCACGCTCGGTTAACGACAGATGACAACATCATGAGCGTGGCCGGCGGGTGATTTACTGAGCTAAACGATGGGGGCTGTGAATCAAGCCCTGATTAAAAGCAGGTGGAGAGTTGCTGCCTGGACACGAATACTGATGAGAGAATTAAAAAGGAGGGATTAATGAAGAGAGAGGAAGAGGAGAAAGCGTGCGGAGGAGAGAGGAAGAAAAAAGGTGGATAAAAGAAGTGCGAAGAGTGAGTTCAGTAAGTGAAAGCAGTTTTTAATACACCGACACACTCAAATGTATCGGTGACAAATATTCAGTCCAATGGTTGCTTTGCATCTGTGAAGTTATTTATTGTCTTTTTAAATATTTGTACAGTTTGTGTCTTTGTGTAGTGTTGTGTCTTTGTGGTTGTTTTGTGTCTCTAGAACTTTGTGTCTCGTTGTCGCTTTGCATCCCTTTGTGTGTCTGTCGCTTTGCATCTCTCTGTAGTCAGTAAAAACTGTGTCCGCAATTAACAATTACTTTCATCAATAAATGTAATTAATCAACCAATCAGCCGATTATTTCCTCCATGAATCATTCTGTGATAAATGTTACAATAGGGCTGTGAAATATATCGATAATACATCATTATGATAGGATACGAGACTAGATATCATCTTAGATTTTGGACATCGTAATAATGGCAAAAAAGTCGCCTTTTGCTGGATTTAAAGGCTGCATTACAGTAAAGTCACGTTATTTTCTGAACTTACCAGACTGTTCTAGCTGTTCTATTATCTGCCTTTAAACTTCATCGTTCTCACATTACTGATGATTATCTACCAAAAATCTCATTTTGTGAAAGCACCAATAGTCAAAACAATATTGTTGCAATATGGACATCGAGGCATTTATTTGGTCAAGAGTATTGTGATATTTTCTCCACATCCCCCAGACCGTGTTAAACGTATATACTGTACATCAGGGCTGTCACGGTTTGTGTATTTTAGCCGAACCAGCAGAGTTTGAGACAGTTTAAAGCCTCCAGCTGATGTGGAACAGTTTTCTTTGAGCTCCTCAGCTGTAAAAGTTGCTCTGTGTTCAGATGAGTGACTTGTGACAAAGCGTCCTCCCTCACGGCTGCTCTGAATGAAGCTGAAAAGCAGCTCTACCTTTAAAAAAAAAAAAAAAAAAAAAAAAAAAAAAAAAAAAAAAAAAAAAAATCGAAAAAGGAGTGAGCCCGTGTTGCAGGTAATTGATTCCAGCCGTGCCGCTCGGTCTCCTTTGGCACTGAATGAGCAGCGTATCGTTTGCTGAGGGAATATCAATCCACATTACACACCTGCTGACAACGACACGCAAACACAGGAGAGCCTCCGCACGAAAACCCTTCATCCAGGGTGGTCGTACTTTTCTTAATTTAATATTTACACAGTTGCCAGTCTCCCGAGTAGCCTGCCCGCCTCCAGACTCATGAAACCTCTTAAATATACACGACTGCGTTTAAATTACTTCAGCTTCTATGTGCCGCTTTCTGGTTCCACAAGTTTATGCATTTTAAAGAGTTTAAAGAAATAAACCAGATCAGACAGAAAAGTTTCTGTATTCAAAGGAAAGAATAGAAAAAAACAAGGAAATAAAACTCATAAATATAATTTCCATGAATATTTTATCAACATGTGAAATTGTTCATGATATCTCGGTGTATAAACTTGAAACACAAAGCGATTCCTCCCTCTAGTGGAGCTCGGGGACAGTTATCCTCCATCAGGGGATTTTAAAACGTCATTAAAACGGCCTCTTGAACACTTCAACTCAGACTCGGTGTCGGGCCGATCACGGCATATTGTAAATGGATCGTAACAGCTCAAATAAAACCGATCTGACGCAGATCTTTTCTTTACTGTGTTGTGAAAATTCAAAGTGTGCGAATGTAGAAAAAGGGACCACAAAGTGCAGCTTCAGTACAGGAACGTAAGAGCCACCTCAGCAACGGTTAAAACTATAAACCAGCACAAGAATGACACAACTACCAACATCAGTTGTTAGTGTTATTTTGGCTAGTTCAGATTCACCAAAAGTCACGCAGTAACACGAACAAACGAACCGATCGAGGCAGCGTGTTCTGTGAGGTTAAGTTACTGTCCTCAATGGGATCTGGTAGAGCAGAGATAACTGCCTCAAGGCCAGGTAAACGGAGAAAATATCTAAAAAAGAAAAATAGCGTAAACTTGAACGGGTTAGAGTTATTTTTAGGTCGGTATTTGTCAGTTATTTTAATGTGTCTGATACATTCATCCATATTCCACATCTGCTGCGTATACAATTACTTTTATTATGTAGACTGAACATCTTTGAACGTGCAACGGGCAGCTGTGTGATTTGGGTAAATATAAGCGATCCGACTCAAACCCGGACCGTACCAACCTTTGAGTGTTTTCTTCAGGTGGGACAGGAGCCCCCCCAGTCTCTGCAGGTCAAAGTAGTCCACCTTCCCGTTGTAGAAGAGCTGTGGGGGGACGTAGGCGTCTGGAGAAAGACAGAGAGGGATGAGGGAGTCAGAGACACAGAGCTCATCGTAAACAACCTTCATTATAATTCAAGAGCTTCAGCTCATTAACAATTAGTGTGGAAGGAGACATTTTGTAAATCGGAAGGTTGTGTGGACCGGATTTTATTCTCAAACGTAGAAAAACTCTGTATACACGGGCCTCATGTTCCTCTCCCTGAGACCAGCCTCAAGTCATAATTGACAAAGCTGAAAGGTTTCATACGAATATAAAACTAAACTGGGAGGTTATACCCTCACTGCTGATGCTGCTCGGGCTCTTCCTGCTGCCGTCGTCCCAGCTGGCCCTCACTGCCGTTATGAGGCGGTGGAGGAAACACACCATGTACTCAGGAGGGCACAGAGCGGTCGGGTGCTGCTCAAACACACAAAGAAGAAGTGTAAAAATGTGCGAGTCTTCTTGACTTAAAACCAAAAAACTGGAGCTACTGGGACATTTGACATGATAAACATTGTGGTCCAGGAAGGAAAGAGTCATGTGACAGTCATGAGACTTCCTGTTGAACCGGACCAGAACTAAGAGACAACGTAGATCGTTCATGTCGGGTCCAAATGAACTGCAGGTGTGAAAGAGACTTCTTCTCCTCACCCAACCGTCATATCCAACTCTTTAATCACCGATTACAAATATGATGAGAGCTGAAACTAACATTTAATTTTATTATTGATATATATTTTTATTTTACAGTTTAAAATCGGTTAAATATTTGTGTAGGAAATATCAGCTAATACTTACCCCTCTGTTACTGGCATTTTCTTGGAGAAACTTGCGGAACTTATTGAGGAAGATGTAGCGAGAGGCTTCTCCCTGAGAGAGAAAACAATGATATAAAAACGTACACAATGAGAGCGAAGAGGAGACAGGGAGGCAGGAAACACCTCCTCACCTGTGACCAACACTAAACATCAAGTCACAGACGAGAGGCTGTGATCCAGACTACAGACCAGGAAACCTAACACGGGCTTCTTTACTTCACTTTGATGTCACGGTTGTGTGGAGAGTCAGGATCTGAACGTTTAATCAAGCCGACGCCAACCAAGCGTTTTACAATAACACGCGACACTGCAGACTTTATAATTGACCCGTCGATCAGCTGCTCATGGATGAGCGTCACAAGACCTGCAGCCGTCACGAATCTCGAACCGCCAAGAGTCTCAAACCATCAAGAGCTGCAACTGTCGGGCATCAGTCACAACCGTAGAAGTCGCAATTATTGGTGTGCCAACCATGAGAGTGGCAACCGATTGAAATGTAGCATAATTCAGTAGGAGTTTTAATGAGGTTTTTGTTTACTTCCTTCTGTGCACAGTATTCATGACGTGGCCACACAAACGAGCTCAAAATCCCAGATTCACATGTATTGTCTGCGGGAAATATGTGGATCTTAATTCCAGGTAATCAAACCTAAAACCCATTAATCAGTTTATTGTTAAAAGTTAGAATAACGTACAATAATAGAGACACAACTGTACATACCGTAGTTTTGTCTTTGTTATTGAGCAGCAGCTTCAGGATCTGAACTTGCAACTCTTCCACCACTGAGAGGAGATCAGAGGAGAGTTCAGCAGGATGTAAAAGTACTAAAACCGCACAGTACAAATACTCTGTTACAAGTAAAAGTACAAGTGTTTGTAAGATGTTGTGGAGCAGAAGAAGAAAATGAAATGGAAATACTCAAGTAAAGTACAAGTACCTCAAAACTGTGCTTAAGTGTAGTATTTAAGTAAATGTACTTAGTTACTGGTTTGAGGTTAGTGTTCATTCACTTTATAGATCAACAAGAGTTCAGACATCTGGCTGTAAACTAAATCTAAAGTGCTCTACAACTAATTTAAACTAGCAATAAGAAAATATACGTTGCAGATGATATCTGTGAGGACAGTTTGATGAGCCCTGAATGTGAGTAATAAAGACAAGGAAGTGTGTTAGTCCATAAAGGAGGAATAAAGAGACCTTCGATCCTCTTCTTCAGTCTCTGGCAGCCTCTCTCATACGCTCTCCGTCTCAGTCGCTCATCTGCACTTTCATCTTTGGGCTCTCGCTCATCTTTCCCCTGAGAGCCAAACAAGAAACAATAACAAAGAACGAGTAAACGGTGAAAACATTCAGTCAGTATTCTTGTTATTAGTCGACCTTATCGGACTTCACCATCTCACAGATGTAAAGTTTCAGGTACAGATGTGAAGCAGTCGGTCTCAAACACAAAAGACTGAATTTAAATGAGGAAGAGAGCGCGTTAACCTGATCTCTCTTTAACCTCAGTGACAGAGAAAGTAAATATATGAACACATCTCCTAAATAACACTCCGTCATCCGTCTGCTAAATATAAACCCTAATCAGTTGGACTAGAAGCACCACCGGTGAGCGAGTGTTACCTCCTTGTCGAAGTGCGTGGGCCACCAGGTGGTCGGGATGAGCTCCTCTAGCCCCGCCTCCTTCACTCTCAGAGGGGTCTTGATGTAAAAAAACACGACTGAACGCAGCACATCAAACGTGAACTTCAGTTAAGGAGAATATGGACGACGGTGAGACGGTGATTTGTTCAGCAGAGAAGCAGCTCATACAAGCACACCTCAACAGACCCAAACGATCCCTTTAAGAGGCGCCGTAACAGAAGGATATAAGACATTGTTGAGCAGGTATTTCCTGGACTTCTCGTGGTGCAGGATGGCCGTCGTCAGACGCAGGAAGTGGATCTGAAGCACAGAGACTTATTAAAGAAGACTGAACATTAAAAACGTGTTTAAGTTGGAGGAGAAACTTCACTGCAGTCAGGAGGGATTCAAAGACAACAAACAAGTGGATTTTAGACGTTATTCTTTTGTCAAATTTTATATTTACTTTGAAATTACTTTCAAGAAAGTACTAAAAACACAATAATTAAAAAAATAAGTATGTTACAAGTAAAAGTACTAATCAATGATCCGGGTCCTACCTGGAAGCCCAGATCAGGGATGATGGGGGAGAAGCGGTAAGCCCTCAGCAGGGACATCATCAGCTGCTTCAGACACTCGTTCACTTCATAGTCCTGCAGAGAGAGAGAGAGACACACACACACACACACACACACACACACACACACACACACACACA